AATATCGCTTGATAAAATATCTATTGTTTTTATTACAATAATTGAGTTTAATAGTCTGAAAGATAATAATAATAATATTATTATCAAGTTAATTGAAGCATTCAAAATGGTTTTATATAATATTATATTGCATTATTTAATACTAATATTAAATATTTAAAAATTTAGGAATAAATAAAAAAACTACATAAATTAGAAAAGATAAATTTATTTTAATATTTCTATAATTTAAAGCAGTTCAAAAATAGCAATGAAATGTTCATTAATATTCTTTGCTGTTAATAAACGAAATTACAATATAAACTTGATTAATATTTTAATTAAGCTTATTAATAGTATATTAAATATTAAACAAGGTACAGTATTTTTTGATGATCTTAATAATAAGAATAAAGAAAAATTCAATTGAAAAGAAACTACTTCCTTAAACTTTTTATTATGAAGACAATTTTTTAAATATATTTACCATTATCAATCGTAAATTACAATTTCGAATACCAAAAATTATTCATTTGATATTTATAATTCAACATTTCTTTTATTTTCTAATTCTTCTTTTTACTATTGCTATTCTTATTTTTATGGTTAAATTTAAATAAATAAATGCTTATAATATTGCTAAAATTATCGCAAAAAAAATAATTTAAAATATTTTATTATTTTAAGAGATTAAAACTCTAAATTTTTTCAAATCTTATCTATTTTTAAAATTTAAAGTCTCTAATAATTTTTTCTGTAATGGTTACTAAAATTATTGTTCCTTTTACATTTTATTCGTGATTTACTTACTCAAAGCAACAATTTCAGTTATAAATTTAGCTATAAATTAATTCATCTTGACCACAATATTTATAATTAACACGCATGTCAAACATGAAAATGATTTCATAGTTCTTACATTCATGACACTTTGTCTAAATATAATATTTTAATGCTAATTATTGGAAGTATCTTGTTCGAGTATAAGTTATTTAACAGTTCTAAGTAAACTTTTTCAGCCTCGTGTCGCTAAGAGTGTCTTACTAGCAAAGTCCATAATAAATTCTGCCAAGTCCACAATGGGGCAATCCGGTGGTGAAGGACAGAAGCCGAAAAACAGACCAACCCAGAAAAATTCCTGAGATTTTTCGACCCATTAGGATTCGATCCTGGATCCTCCAGAAAAGCTGGGCTGTCAAAAGTATTGAATAAATTTGTCAAGTATGGATATATTTTTGTTTGTTAAACAACAAACTTACCTTTAATATTTCGATAGTTTCAAAAAATTTGATTTGTTTTCGTTGATTTTATATGACACGACGTTACCTCATGTGAAATCAATGTTATGGAGAGAATTGAAAAACAAACAATTACATTTATCGAATCTGTTACATATCAATATTTAAATAAATTTATATATCTTTCTGAAAAATTGTCACTTTTATTAGGTTTTAGGAATCAATCAGAGTTGTCAAATTCTATTTTAACTGATATATCTGTTTATAACCAAGATATTATAGAAGTAAAATTATTTGACGAATTTAATAACGATACTATATTCTTTAAAATATAGAATTTAAATTTAGCATTTAACACTAAAAAGTTTTTTTTTTCTTTACTAAACATTTTTATATTTAGTCTATCAAATGTGGAATTTTAATATTGTTAAAAACATTAAAACTAAAATAACAGGAATTTGTTTTTCTCCACTTTTAATATCTTAATGTAAACTTGACTTATAAAATAAGATTTAAAAAATTTTACTATATTAAATAAGCACTAAAGTATTTCAAATTAAATCATTTGTAATTACATAAAATTTCAAACCCGCTAGGGTACTAATCCGATTTTTTTCGCACTCCTTACGAATTAGTGTAAGTGTATCGTAATTTCTTATTTTTGCTCTCTATCAAAACTTCTTTCAATTGAGTTCGGATATTTTTTGGTAACTCTTTCCGCCTTGAGGACCTTCATAATTATACCATTATGGGTTTTGCCAGAACCACAATGGAGCGGCCAGTGGTGGAGAACGTGCTCGACTTATCCGAGAATGACTATTCATAAAGAAATTCTAAGAAATTGCTTGCCCAGGATTCGATTTCGAGTTCCTAGAGCAGTAGGTTACCACTCTAACTGCTCGGCCATCCGACCGTTTGTTTGGATGGTGGAAACGTCTGGCAACGTTTTATATACTAGTCCATACAAGTTTATGTTCATCTGACGAGAAAGTCGCCATCAGGACCATTTCGCATCATTTAATAGTACAAATTCTATAGATTCATATAAATATACAATTCAAACATCAACACTTAACCGTTGGAACTTGCAATTTTACCTTTTTCAATGTAATATTTTCTTCCACTTTTTGTCATTGTCATTCCATAATTTAAAATAACAATATTTAATTAATCTGTATATGAATAAATATTAGCCAAATTAGAAAAAAATCAAAACCAACTATTGTTAACTTTTATTTACTCTTTATCAAAGCTTAATGTAAAATTATTCCTATTTAAATTAACATTAGTTAATTAAATAAACACATGTTTTTAATTTAAAAATAAAGAAAAACATTTATATAACAATAAATTATTTATTTAAATAAAATAGTTGGAATTATAAATGAATAATGAAATTATAAAAAGTTTAATTAATTAAAACATCACAAAAAACATCTGATTATCAGTAAATTCTCGTCATCTAAATAATTAATTTAGAAAGGAATATATATATAAATGTCATGGTCTTTATTTAAATGTAAGAAAAATATATAAAAAGATAGAAAATAAACAGGTTAAACTCACCAATATATAATGAGAAAAATATTTACAAAATAATAATAAAAGAATAGTAAAATACTTTACCTTTAAATATTTACTTAATGTGAGAGATACTTAATAGTTAAAACAGAATTATTTTGTTTTTAGACTATTTTATATGAAGAAGTTTGATTTGACTATCGATAGCTCACGTTTCGTGACTATTATGAATGGTAATTTTATTCAGAATACATTCAGCAAGACGACCAGTTGGATGTAATTTAATCTATGTTAGTAATGTAATTTAAGCATTCTATTTATTTGTTTTGACAGAATGTTTCAAATCTTGCTTCACTTCATCACTTTAATACTGGTTTTGATGTAACAGCTTGACAAAAAACAAGAACGAAATTAAATATTAAAGATACTATTACGTACGTCATAAATAACGAATCTGTTTTTTGTTTAACTTATTTTTTGTTTAATAAATTGACGAATAAAAAAATATTACTTGAATTTTGTTTTAAATCAAAGACAATTTCAAATGTTGATAAATTATTAAGAATTTGTTTTCCAACTTTGTCTCGTCTTTATATTTTATTTAATGCCTCATTACTATGTTAGGAGAAATAAAATGTTTATCCCATTTGACTGCTGAAATTTGATTTAGTAATGTTTGTCTATCGTGAAAGTTTATGAGAAAGAAGCAAGAAGCTGAAATTTGTATAAAAATCATATTTTCGATACAAAATTAGATTAAAAATTTATTTTTATTACTGAATATTTCAGAAAAGTGACATAAACAATACGATGAATCATTTTTTTTATCTGATTATTTTATTATCTATTACATAAAATTTAAAAAAATTATATTAAAGTTTTCATCAATATAAATTCAAAATTACTTTACTATTTATAAATCCCATTAAAATTAATAATTTATAGAATTAGATTATTTATTGATATTGTGTATTTGACTCTAATTTTCATTTTGTATTATTCACGAAATTTTAATTATTAAATTAAACGTACTGATAATATATTCGTAGTAAATTATTATCGAAGTTCTTAAATAATTCTATTATTATGTATTAATCTTATGAAATTTAATAAGGAAAATAATACCAAGACATGATTATTATTAAATAATTTAATATATAATTAAATTATTTAATTATTATTATTAAATTAAGATCTTGTATAATTTTTGGACATTTATTTTTATTTTAAACATGATCTGAAGAAGGTTTATATTACTGTTGCAATTTCTATTTACTTTAGAAATTGACTAACTTGGCAGACTGTCTAACGTCATGTACAGTACGATAAATAATTTTAAGGGTTTGGATCATATTTCCAAAACAGTCAATAAGTGCTTGTTTATTAAAAATAGATAGAACTTATAATGGATCCGCCTGTGTCTGTTGAATTCATATTTTATGACCAACAATAGTAAAAGAGAATAAATCTTATAGCACAAGTTAAGAGTAAAAATTTGTTCACTTCTATGTTCATTATTTTTTTAATATATAGAAGAAAAACAATTTTTTAAATATATATTTACAACAAAAATATTCAAAAATATATTAGAAATACGCTCATATAAAATTTCAGAAAGCTTAATATTATTTTATCTTAGAAAAATCTGTTCATTTAGTTTTTTTAATCTTTGTATTATCGATTTTATTTATTACAAAATAGTAAATTTCTTTATTTTACAAATAATTTTATTGTATGAGAAAAAATTATTTACGACTAATAATTACCATTTTTATTTTAATTAGTTATTAAACGTTAATTTAAAATCTATTGATTAAAAAGAAAACAATTTTAGTTATTGTTTTTCACAGAAATAATATGTCTACTACAACAAATGAGATTTACTGTATTATTGTAAAGGTTAAATATTTTATTTTGTTCACAAGTGCCTTCAAATTACTGTATAACACTGTAGATAATTCCGTATTATATGAATTCCATGTTGTACGAGTCACTTAGCTTTCACAAATACGTGAGCCTTTCACAGCCCAGCACACGTATTTGTAAAATCTAAGTGACTCGTACAACATGGAATTCATATAAAACGGAATTATCTACAGTGTTATAAGAGGGTCTACTGTATATATTTTCAAAAACATTTTTTTAATATACAAAAATCAATAATTTAATAAAATAATTAAAAAAAACTCAGAGATATTTACATACAAATAAATAAATCTTTAATTTCTTTTTGAAATCATATACATGATAATTATGCACTTATACAAATGATGAAATACATATAATATATTACTAGTACTATTGATTTTTATATGTTTTTACGAAAGACTCATATAATATCTACTTCACAATAAATTTCACAAACTACTTCTTCGTTGTTCACTTATATTGTTTGACAAGAAAACAAATAGATAAGAATTTTTACGCTGAATAGATCTATATGATAAAGCCACAAATTATTTTTCATGAAAGTAATTTATGTGCTCATGCATAAGTTAATACCTTTTAATTATAAGATGGAATGTGAATTTAAATTCTTACAACGTACTTAATAGCGTAACGTTAATATTATAATTAAACAAAATTTAATTATAAAACATACTTTTACATATTTAAGTAATTCTATAAAGCTTCTTAACATCGAAAGAAATAAGAAATCATTTAAAAAATATTTATTAGAAACTCCATAGATATTTATTTGATCTCTAACGTTGACGCCACGTATCACTTATAAATGCATTATAGAAATTTAATTTGGAAGAAAACGAATATATTTTGACAATAAGACGTGATAGTAACCATTTAAAAAGGTGCTTAAATTGGTAGCCATAAAAGCATCTTTCAGTGTTTCGACAAGGATGGATCATTCACGAAGTGATAAACCACTTTATAGAGGCATATTCTTTAGTAAAAGTTTCTATTTAAGATCTACTAAATTCATTGGGCATAGTGTTAAGAAACACCTTGCTATATAAGCCATTTGTTAAACAATAACAGATACCGAAAGTATCGGTTGTTTCTATTGTATAAATTGCTGTAAAATCTGGTTGAATTTCATAAAATTAAAAATTTCTAAAGTGCATTAAAAAGAATTTCATAAATATAATTGGAAGAAATATACGAATAAATTTCTATGAATATACTAAGTTAGAGAAACAGTCTAAACGACTATATTTTGTTTTTATCTATTTACAAATAAATTCAAATTATTTAATATTAATTAGCCCATATAAGAAAGCTTATTCAAGGCAACTATGAGATCCATCTATATGAATACCATCAAATTTCCACAATATTTGAATATCAAGAGAAACCTCATAATAGTATCAAGAGCATGTGGTCCCTCTATGTATACATTTATATTATGAAATCACTCATTGAATGCGGCTATATTGATTCTCTAATCGACCAAAGCACTTCATATACTTCGCGATTCAATAAACATCTACTGCATTTCAAAAGAGACTTTCAACGTATATTATAAATAGTATTGAAAAGCTCCGTGTGTCATTAAACAAACAACACAGTGTATTTTAACACTATAATTCGATTCCATTCGATACGGTTATATGCAAATAACATCAATTTTAAAAGTAGATATTGAAGCAGTTAACGTATATATCTATATAGCTTAGATTTACAATATTCATCTACATTTCCAGTATTTTCTGTTAATGATTTTAATTTCAGAAGCAAATATTATTAAACTTGATCTGTATTATATTTAACATTAGTTACGTGCTTGACCAAGTGTCCAAACTTTAAAAAAAACCTATATAATGTTGGAAATTGTACCTTAAAAAGGTATTTATTAATTTAAAAAAATATATAGAAATATTAATGATTTTTGAAAAATTATATCTGTAAATTCTTAAAAATTATTTAATCTCATCAAGAATATTGAGAGAATTTAACGCCTTTATTAAAACTATAACGTAAGTTTACATGAATTTTTATAGTTTAATTTATGGCAATATTCTGAAGGAAAAGATCTTAAATTCATTGGGTATGAGAAATAAATTCTAGCAAAATAAATTAAGGAGAACTAATTTCTACTTGATCAATAATTTGCACAACAACTAAATCATTAAAATATCATTATTATTGATTTTTCTGCAACCTAATTAGGTGAACAACCTTAATAAAGAGAAAGATTAATTTTCTTAAACACTTTATTATAATTTATATCTTTTACTAATTTGCTCATTCTTTAATTCATATTTATTGTACTGCTGTAGAATATATACAAATGGCACTAGAAAATATCCTTGAATTATGAAAGATACTCAAGAGTTAAATTTTTCGACATATAAATTTGTCAAAACGTTCTGAGAATTATTTTCTTTGGAGCTTCACGGTTCAGTAAATGGGCTCATATTAAATGTGTAGCCCTATATCTTTTCAAAATGAAACTCTGAGTAGACAACAATATATCATTGCAAACATAAAGCCTGCTAATGTAAAATACTTTTTCTTAATAGACTTTATTTCTGGTCCCTTAAAACTTAACCAGATTTGGCATTTGACATTATAATTAGGCATTCAGAATTTTTTAATATAGATATTTTAACAATATTTTTCAATAATTATTATATAATTTTCATCACTTATCTATATATATGTATGAAATTTTGGTTATTTTTTTATTTTAAAGGCATATTAATATTCAGTGATTATTAATAATTAAGGCAAATATCTTGGCTTTACATTTGCATTTACATATTCAAGTCAAGTATTTTGATCCATATAATTAGTTTGATAAATTATACACTTATGGTAAATTATTATTCTATTTTTAAAAATTAAATTTAAAGCTGTTATTAAAAATAATTCGCAAAATTCAATTTTAAATATTAATTAAGGTTGAAATTATTCGAATAAATAATTAAGATTCATTTAAATAAATATTTTAAAATCATAATTAAAAATTAATTTTTGATAAGGTATATATTGACTATCATTATAAATAGGCATCCTAACAATACCTAATTCATTCTGACGTTTGAAAAAGTTTAGGAAAGATGCGAATTACCCTAAAGACATCTATAGTTTCATTACTATAATATTCAGTGCAGATATAACTAGAATTATAGGATATCAGTCACCTAAATGTCCAAGATATATAGATTCTTTAAGGTTTATTTTATGCGTTATTTCTGTCATAGCTAATAAAGGCTCAATTATTGTTTCATGTGTAATGTAATTCCATTGAGATTAGTGAAACGATTATAAAGAGTTGAAAATATCTGTAGATTTTAAGATAAAAAATACATTTCCTATAGAAAAAGAAAGACCACAGATTTCCAATTGAGTAAAATGAAGTCTATTTTTATGTAAATGTTTACATTCTATATTATGATATCCTGTAAGGTATGGTGCAAACCAAATAGCTTTATAAAATATGAAGTTTTATTTAAAGTAAGTTGTTTGATTTTTACCTATTAATTAATCTTTTCAGAGACTAATAAAAAGTTATTACATATGCTATTTCAGTATTTGCTTGTCGATACCAGATGCTCAGAATTCATTAAATCATTAAGATAAATTCAGTAAATAAGGGCACACACCTTTCTAATGTCCTATTTATCCAACTATCGATATAATTTCAAAAATGTTATTTCAAGATGCGATGCGGCTATAAAATTAAAATATTTTATTCTAATTATTGATTTTTTCCATGTATTTGTTTCTTTAATTTACTAATGTGTAATGTACTTTAATGTAAATTTTTGTTTATAGTTCGTTTCAAATACTCTTTCATTAAGCAAACATTATTCTTTTTGTTTAATTATGAAGTTAATTTCATTCGGCTTGAGCCATAAATTACAGAATACCTTTTTTATGTTTGTCTGTATTTGAACTACATTAAACTATTTCTAAATAACATTTTACAAAACAAATAAAGAGAAGAAGGAAAAAAAGATATGTGGCACAAACAAAGATATGTTTGTTTATTTCAAACTTATAATGACCCTGTTTACGAGACAACACAGTCATCGACGTCTTGGGCTTGTTCTTTCAATTTGGAAACCTTTTTGCTGCTTCTTCTGATTAAACTTCGACTTCTGGGTTTTATTCTTGAACCAGAACTTTCATCAAAACCTGCATCGTGATGAGGACTCAAGCTTGTAGCTACTCGTGTCGATTTTCCTGTGGGTACGTGAGCACTTGAACGACGTCTCAGACTAGCACCTTCTGGTAAAGGGATTTTAGACAATTGTAAAAATGCCTTAAATATTTCTTTTATATTTATGTTTTCTTTGGCAGAGCATTCCATGACTTTAACTCTAAGACGTGGCAAATCACAAAAAACCCATTCGGCCACGTCTTCCTTCTTCACCACTCTTTTTTCTTCACCAAGATCGCTCTTGTTTCCACAGACGATTATTGGCAATTCTTGAAAATCCTTTTTTTGTTCTCTTATTTCTTCAAAACATTGTTTGACAACATTAAATGATGTTGGGCAATCTATGCTATAGACGAGAAGAAATGCTAAACCGTTTGCTATTGATAACCTTCTCATGGCCGGAAACTGAAGATCTCCAGCGGTATCCATTATGTCTACTTTTAAAACTGTAGAACCGATATCAAATTCGCGACAGAAAAGATCTTCAACTGTCGGACGATATTTTTCACAGAAAGCATTAAAGAGGAATCTCTTCACAATCGAACTCTTTCCAACTCTTCCTCCTCCAAGAATCATTTAACGCCTTTATTAAAACTATAACGTAAGTTTACATGAATTTTTATAGTTTAATTTATGGCAATATTCTGAAGGAAAAGATCTTAAATTCATTGGGTATGAGAAATAAATTCTAGCAAAATAAATTAAGGAGAACTAATTTCTACTTGATCAATAATTTGCACAACAACTAAATCATTAAAATATCATTATTATTGATTTTTCTGCAACCTAATTAGGTGAACAACCTTAATAAAGAGAAAGATTAATTTTCTTAAACACTTTATTATAATTTATATCTTTTACTAATTTGCTCATTCTTTAATTCATATTTATTGTACTGCTGTAGAATATATACAAATGGCACTAGAAAATATCCTTGAATTATGAAAGATACTCAAGAGTTAAATTTTTCGACATATAAATTTGTCAAAACGTTCTGAGAATTATTTTCTTTGGAGCTTCACGGTTCAGTAAATGGGCTCATATTAAATGTGTAGCCCTATATCTTTTCAAAATGAAACTCTGAGTAGACAACAATATATCATTGCAAACATAAAGCCTGCTAATGTAAAATACTTTTTCTTAATAGACTTTATTTCTGGTCCCTTAAAACTTAACCAGATTTGGCATTTGACATTATAATTAGGCATTCAGAATTTTTTAATATAGATATTTTAACAATATTTTTCAATAATTATTATATAATTTTCATCACTTATCTATATATATGTATGAAATTTTGGTTATTTTTTTATTTTAAAGGCATATTAATATTCAGTGATTATTAATAATTAAGGCAAATATCTTGGCTTTACATTTGCATTTACATATTCAAGTCAAGTATTTTGATCCATATAATTAGTTTGATAAATTATACACTTATGGTAAATTATTATTCTATTTTTAAAAATTAAATTTAAAGCTGTTATTAAAAATAATTCGCAAAATTCAATTTTAAATATTAATTAAGGTTGAAATTATTCGAATAAATAATTAAGATTCATTTAAATAAATATTTTAAAATCATAATTAAAAATTAATTTTTGATAAGGTATATATTGACTATCATTATAAATAGGCATCCTAACAATACCTAATTCATTCTGACGTTTGAAAAAGTTTAGGAAAGATGCGAATTACCCTAAAGACATCTATAGTTTCATTACTATAATATTCAGTGCAGATATAACTAGAATTATAGGATATCAGTCACCTAAATGTCCAAGATATATAGATTCTTTAAGGTTTATTTTATGCGTTATTTCTGTCATAGCTAATAAAGGCTCAATTATTGTTTCATGTGTAATGTAATTCCATTGAGATTAGTGAAACGATTATAAAGAGTTGAAAATATCTGTAGATTTTAAGATAAAAAATACATTTCCTATAGAAAAAGAAAGACCACAGATTTCCAATTGAGTAAAATGAAGTCTATTTTTATGTAAATGTTTACATTCTATATTATGATATCCTGTAAGGTATGGTGCAAACCAAATAGCTTTATAAAATATGAAGTTTTATTTAAAGTAAGTTGTTTGATTTTTACCTATTAATTAATCTTTTCAGAGACTAATAAAAAGTTATTACATATGCTATTTCAGTATTTGCTTGTCGATACCAGATGCTCAGAATTCATTAAATCATTAAGATAAATTCAGTAAATAAGGGCACACACCTTTCTAATGTCCTATTTATCCAACTATCGATATAATTTCAAAAATGTTATTTCAAGATGCGATGCGGCTATAAAATTAAAATATTTTATTCTAATTATTGATTTTTTCCATGTATTTGTTTCTTTAATTTACTAATGTGTAATGTACTTTAATGTAAATTTTTGTTTATAGTTCGTTTCAAATACTCTTTCATTAAGCAAACATTATTCTTTTTGTTTAATTATGAAGTTAATTTCATTCGGCTTGAGCCATAAATTACAGAATACCTTTTTTATGTTTGTCTGTATTTGAACTACATTAAACTATTTCTAAATAACATTTTACAAAACAAATAAAGAGAAGAAGGAAAAAAAGATATGTGGCACAAACAAAGATATGTTTGTTTATTTCAAACTTATAATGACCCTGTTTACGAGACAACACAGTCATCGACGTCTTGGGCTTGTTCTTTCAATTTGGAAACCTTTTTGCTGCTTCTTCTGATTAAACTTCGACTTCTGGGTTTTATTCTTGAACCAGAACTTTCATCAAAACCTGCATCGTGATGAGGACTCAAGCTTGTAGCTACTCGTGTCGATTTTCCTGTGGGTACGTGAGCACTTGAACGACGTCTCAGACTAGCACCTTCTGGTAAAGGGATTTTAGACAATTGTAAAAATGCCTTAAATATTTCTTTTATATTTATGTTTTCTTTGGCAGAGCATTCCATGACTTTAACTCTAAGACGTGGCAAATCACAAAAAACCCATTCGGCCACGTCTTCCTTCTTCACCACTCTTTTTTCTTCACCAAGATCGCTCTTGTTTCCACAGACGATTATTGGCAATTCTTGAAAATCCTTTTTTTGTTCTCTTATTTCTTCAAAACATTGTTTGACAACATTAAATGATGTTGGGCAATCTATGCTATAGACGAGAAGAAATGCTAAACCGTTTGCTATTGATAACCTTCTCATGGCCGGAAACTGAAGATCTCCAGCGGTATCCATTATGTCTACTTTTAAAACTGTAGAACCGATATCAAATTCGCGACAGAAAAGATCTTCAACTGTCGGACGATATTTTTCACAGAAAGCATTAAAGAGGAATCTCTTCACAATCGAACTCTTTCCAACTCTTCCTCCTCCAAGAATCACAAGACGAATTCTGTATTCTGTGTCGTCACCCATTATATCCTATAAATAAAAAATAATGTTATCAAACCTTGAATACAACATTATTTGAAGTATTAAAAACTATGATATATTATATATATATAGGCCTATTACATACATATATTGTGTAAAGTAATCTAAAAACTTTTAACAATACTTTATAATAAACTCTATAAAAAAGATTTATAAACTCATTTTATTGTGATTGTAGAGAAGCAATTTGCCGTAAAATCTTTAAATAAATAAAAAAAACAGGTTCTAAATCAGGAAAAGCATGAGAACATTGTTTATTCTAGCACATTTACCGTGTAAAACATCTATGAACATTAATGGACAGAAAAAAAAACATAATAATAAATTGATTTTCCAGCTAAATAAAGCTAACAGAAAATCCTTCCATCAGCTTTATTTTTCTTAAGAATCCTTAAATTGTTTACTGAATGAAAAGAATTGCATTTAAAGTATAAAACCAATAAAAAGTAAAATATTTAATCCCTGAAGGATTTTAATTTTAAATTGTAAATTTTTGAAATTTCAAAAAAAAAAAAAAAAAAAAAAAATGCAGACAATCTTACTTTCCAAATATATGAACAATTATTGTATTGTCAAAGATTCAAAATACAAACAAATTATTAATTAACTTATATATAAAAGTTAATAAAAATGAAATAATCACAAAAAATAAAAATAAAATAAATAAAAAATTAACTTTTGAAAGTATTAAAAAAATAATGAATTTAAAGATAAAAATATAATTTTTAAATTTTTTTAGTTGTAATTTTTCAAAATATTAAAAAGTAATTAATTTTATTTTTAAAGTAAATATTCTGATTTATTCTTATATTTATTTTATTCAGAAAATTTTAATAACATTTTTATTTATACTTGTTTTTTTGACAGAAATTCAAAAAGAAAATGCTTCTTTTCTGCTATTAATTAAAATTATTTTTTGCTGTAAACATATATTAATATTTATGTTTTTTAAAAATTAAATTTATATTCTAAAAAGAATATAAAATAAATATTAAAAAATTATTTATGTTTTATTCGTTTTATTTACAAATACTCTACAGATTTAATAGAATTGTAATTCAATAGAATTTTTGTAATCTACTTTATATCTAGTGTATTTTTAAAAAAAATATCCATTATTGAAGAATANATTTATATTGTTAATTTAAATAATAATTAAAATTGTTAATTTAATTTGAATGTTTGAAATATGACACACAATAGGGGCGCCTCTAGTGTCGGTTATCAAACGGTTACAGGACGGACGGACGGAAGGAAGGAAGGACGGACACCTGTTGAATGGGTTATATATACAGATGAAATTATACTTATTTTGTTAATTTATACTTAAAAATATATGGTATAGTATTGAAAGAATTGCCAATGTCAAATTCAAGCCACGATTTTAAAGTTTGTGAAACAAAATACTATATTAAAATTTAACTTGGTGTTTTTTGAAACCCAATAAATATGGAGTAGTGAATCTGCCAATGTGATTTTAATTGAAAACTTTAAATCTACTTACAAATATAAGCACTCCAGTTTATCATAAAATTTAATTTCTTTGATTGAGATTCTTTTAAATGATATGAAGCCTTCGAGGATAATACTTTTGAAGCTTTGGAGTTAAATAAAGTTAAAATTCCTTTTAGAAAAATAGTATTAAAATATTAACGATTCTTTTTCAACATAAAAAAAAACCCCATAAATCATAAACTTCAACGCTTTTATTGAAATAAAGTACATGATATTTTTATTAGAAAACATGTTAAATAATTTAAGATTTCATAAGAAAATACATCATATTTCAAATACTGTATTTATGAATAAGAATTTAAGTGTCAATAAATCATATCTATAATAATTTTTAGCCATCAAGAATGAGAAGACTTTTGTAAGTCACAAGAATTTAAAATAATGTTAAAATTTAGCGAGTTGTAAATGGAATTTTATGAGAAAAATTCAAATTTAGTTTTGCATAGTATTAAGCTAGAAAATTAGAAATTTTGTTGCAGATTTTATGCGAATTTTGCCGATCAAATTTAATAATGGAATACCTTTAAATTTGTTTTTATAAAAATGAAGAATATTTTATATTTATTCAACATATAAAAATTTTACTAGACATTTTATATGAAGGAGTACATTTTGTATGATAAAATTTTATTTAGAGATACAATATTCAGTTCTTTGCGCATAAAATTCTTGCAAATAGAATGCATATGAAATGTATGTAGTATGACATATTTTTTTTGTATAAAAAAAAGTTCTTTTCAAGTTCTTTTACGAAGTTTATTACGTCTTAGAGATGAGTAAAAATGGAACTAAATAAATTGGATATTGTATTATATTCATATTTTATCAATATAAAGTATTTTGAGAAGTCATAAAATATTTAAAATTAAAATTTATTCTTAAAGAATGAAAAGACAATATAATAAATTTTACATTTGTAAAAATTAATAATAGTTCAGATAAGTTTTACGAGAATAATATTAGCTAGTGATATCTACAAGTTAAATTTAGAAAGATATATTATATCAGTAAAGTGAAATGTTAACAATGCAAGAATTTACTATTTTTGACATTAAGTATAAATAAATTTAAAGTTTCATACAAATTTGTGATATAACTCTTGTCTGGAAAGTTTTAGAGTTTAATAAAAAAGTAAAGGCTGGTTAAAAAAAAATAAAAAAAAAAGTTTTCCTTTCTTGAAATTCGAGATTGTTCCTTTTCATCATTCATTCGTTATAATAGGCTAAGTTGGCAAGAAATGTTAGACTTGGGATTAAAACTTAATCTGAGGAAAAGTGATATCTTAAGTGTTACTGGTAAAATTGCTTTTGCTTTAAAAAAAGGATTTTCTTTTCTTTTTCCTTAATCGGGATAAATTAATCCCTTCTAAACTAGTTCAATATTTCTGAGTTAAGATGTTTAATCCTTTACTAAAATATATGAAAGTTTCAGACAAACAAAGAACTTTTTATGAAAAAAAGTTTTAAATAATAATAATAATAATAAGAATTTTAATTTTTATTTTATTTACTTTTGTTAATTAAAAAAATATGAATTTTTGTTTTTTAAATTCGAATTTATTAGAAGTTTTTAAAATATTTTTCGGTCATTAAACGATGAAATTAGCCTTTTTTTTTTCTTACAATTTTTATATAAATTTTAATCAATTAAATAACTTTAAAAAAAGTTTTAGATCCAATTAAAGTTTTAAAAATTCTTTAAAGTGTGGCTTTTGTTAATATACAAAAGCAAAAAATTTAAAAAAAAAGACCTGTTAATAATTCTTTTTAATTACTCGTTTGCTATAAAAATTGTTTACAGGATTTTTAAATTAGATTTTTAATAGCGTAAAAATGTAATTTGTTCTTATAAATTCTACTAAAAAACATGCTAATTTTCATTAATTTCCAGCTCTTATATAAAGATATTTTTAAGTAAATACGGTCGAACCTTCTATAACGTACTGTACAGTACACCTCTCAATAGCGGCCATTTTATGGGGAAAGTTTCGTTTTGAAATGAGTGTTAAATAACCTCCGAACAGCGGCCATTTTTTAAAAAATGTTTCCACCGCTGTCCGTTGTTAAGAGGTCAATTTATTTATATTATAAATAGATTAAATAGGTATAATTAATTTTAAAATTATGCTCCTCCCATTTTGCAATAGTGGGCGGAGCGATTGTTTAAATTATCATAATTTATGTCACGTGGACAGAAGCGAATAAAACGATTGGCTCATGTTTAATACTGTTAATACACTATGAGACATAATGAGAGAAATTAAATACAAACCTGCTTTTATTTTATTTATCTGATTATTTAATGTAAAGTGTAAAGTTAGGGAGACTTCTGCGGTGATGGAATTTCATGCCAAGCATAAAAAAAGTTAGTTATAAAAACGTCCGCTAGTGCAGTAAATGGCGCTACAACACCGTAGTGGATAACTTTAACTTAAGTATACACACACAATACAAACAGTATCGTAAAGTTTGGAGACATTTTAACTGAACCACTACGTTGTTGCAGCGCCATTTATTACCCTAGTGGACTTTTTGTTACTAACTGTTTATAAATCCATCGTATGAGGGCGTCCCGCTGATTAATACCCGCATTATGTCTTTTTGAAATGTAAACTTTGATCGCAAACATCTTTTATTAAGGTATTTATTTATGATTGAGATGAATATACTTTGTAATTGAATGTAAACCGACAAGTTAACCGCCGTAACAATTGATTCGATTTGTCAGGATAATTTATACTTACACGTCAGTTTGACGTCATTTCTTATATTTCTGTAATGAGAAAACATGAATATGACGTTGTGTTGACGTAAGAATTTACACTATTGTGACGAAATGAATGCGTTCAACAGTCAAAAACATGATCCTCCTCCTCAAGTCCTCCTCAAGATCCTCCTTATACATTTTTAGACTTGAGAACCTCGAAACGTTCAGAATTGCAANTTACATTTATATAAATTTTAATTTTAAACATTTTCTATACAAAATAATTTTACAATTTTTTAAAAATAAACTACATAAAAAGTTATGGATCTATATGTTTTAGTCGAATAAAAAAAAACGAAAATATATATTTTAAATTAGTTTGAAACATAGAGGAGTAATTAATCTAAGTTTTTTTAACTGTAATATAACAGAATATTAATCTTTACACGTCACAGCCACTAACGGCTATATTATCAATATTTAAGCTCTAAACGTTTTCTAACGTAGAGAAATTGTTACTAAAACGAAAATTTTTAAAAATCCATGATGTTATTAGAGGATATCTTGAAATTGCGCATGAATTTTACAATAATAGAACTGCAAACATGCTCATTTAGAATGCTACTTCATGCATTATTCACTGAATGAACGATAAAGATCAATGACACTTCATTCTATAAATAATTGCTTCTAAGATAAAAAAAAATCTTCTCATATACAAATTATGTTTAAAAATAATATTTTATTCAGTGTTATTTATTTGAAGT